TCTCACTAGGCCCTGACTCTCCCTGCAACAAATGTTTGTGGACACAGAACTGTCTTCAGTGCAAACTGATGACATGTCGCCCACCAAACAAAGTCTTTTTACTATGTGAGTGTTAGAATTTACTATGTCTAGTAGTTATCCATACAACTTACAAGCTTTTCCACCTCAGTTTTTTCTACTTCTGCTCCTGTGACCTCTGTCCTCTTCCTCTTAAAATACTGCAGGATGCTCGTCTCTGTGTGAATATTTTGACAACTTTTAAATTGTTTATGGACACGTAGCAGAGACACATACACACCTCATGGCACAAGTTTTTAAGGCCAAGGATGGTCACAGACAGAGGCAAAAAAATGGCCCAGGAGTTTGTCCCCAGTCAACCCACTCTCAAGACAAAGCATTTGTCAGGGCCTCTGGGTCTTTAGAGACATTTATTCTTGCATTCTTGAGAATTTTATGCAAGTAGAGCACATAACTAAATGAGCCATTAAAATACATTTTCAAAACTAGAAACATCCCTCTAACACTCCTAAAATAAAGTAATCACTTCAGCTGAGCTCTTGAGTAGATAACTAAATGAGCCATGTCATCATCAATCTTACCATAAACTGCTGCTTTGACTCTGTTCTGCTATTGACCTCATCAAAATCTTTACTCAAGAAAAAGTACAATTACTCCCATAAAAAGTAAAAAAACCTACTCATGTATAAAAAAGTATAATAATATTTTATCTGCTGTTCATTAGGTTCGAAACAACACGGGTATTTCTAGGGAATGCAATTTGCTTTAGTGGTTGATTATCTTTAGCGATTTCTGTTTAATAATTATTTTCCTTTTTAAATCTCCATGAAGGTATTGATAAGATCACTTTAAAATATCAGGTTTGCTGCCTAGCCTACTATTGTTGCCTGTCTCTTTTATTATGTACATGTAGCCAACCAAACCTCTTGCTTTAAAGTAGCACAGGCAGCCAATACAATCTGATTATTCCTAAAGCATCTAAATAATCTTTATAATGCAAAGAATTATTGTGGAAGTAATAATAATAATAATAATAATAATGCATTTTATTTAATGGTGCCTTTCATAACACCCAAGGTCACCTCACAAACAATATACAGATCACTGCATAAAACAATACACACAACAAACAAGCCGCATACAGATAAAATGCATTAAAAACTCACAACATGTTATAAAAAAGCTTGTATATAAGATGTGTCTTAAGACGCGTTTTAAAAGTCAACAAGCAGTCGCTATTGCGAACATCAAGTGGAAGAGAGTTCCATAGGCAGAGGGCAGCATAACTAAAAGATCTGGCACCCATGGTATTTAGTCGAATCCGAGGTACCACAAGAGAAATTGAAGATGAAGATCTGAGAGCAGGTAAAGGGGTGTAAACATGGAGAAGTTGTGTAAGGTATTGGGGTGCAAGATTGTGAAGTGCCTTATAAGTAAGTAGCAGGATCTTAAATTCAACTCTATACTTTACTGGAAGCCAGTGCAATTGCTGAAGAACTGGAGAAATGTGCTCAGTATAAGGAGTTCTAGAAAGAACACAAGCTGCAGAATTCTGAACTAACTGAAGCTTATGTAGCAATTTGGAGGGAACACCTGTGAAAAGAGCATTACAGTAGTCTATACATGAAGTGACCAGTGCATGAATAAGAACTGCAGTATTATTATTTGAAAGAAAGGGGCAGAGAAGCTTCAAAGGATAGTGTGCTATCCATGATGACACCCAAACATTTAACCTGTGAAGAAGGATAGATTACAGTATTGTCAATGTACAAAGAAAGACAATTAGATCTAGACAAAACAGATCGAGTGCCAATAAGCAAAGCCTCAGTTAACACGGAGCAGCTCTTTGTTGAAACAGGGTAAACCTACTTACAGAGGAAGCTGTCAGTCACGCATAAAGCCCAACAGTACTGTTTTATCCACCATATTCTCTCTCTCTGTGCATCTCAAAAATTATTGTTTCCTGAATATATAACAGCTAGTAGCTGCTGAGTGAAAGCCAAGATTAGTTTCACCAGCAACATTCTGTTTATCGACTCACATCGCTATTAAACAGTAACCAATGTAAAAACAACAACAACAAAAAACCAGGCTAATATCCATCAAAAGAAAGCTATGCGCTTTCGACAACAGGGAACTGTTAATATATCAGAATCAATCTAGTGATTGTGAGACTTAGATGTTACAGTGTGAAGTTTACGTTTTCTCTGCAGAGAATAAATAGCCTACGCTTTTAATTGGCCGTTAATGGAAAGTGAAAGTAGGTGCCGTCCGGCGTGTTAAAGAGCGACGCAGGCTGCTTTCCAACACAGCCACCAGTGCCATGGTGTGCGCTCACTGGATTTCAATTGTTTCAGTAGAACAATAAAGCCTTAAACTGAAAAGGTATTTGCCTGATTTTCTAAATGTTTACATCTGCCCAGCTCATTCATATCTGTGATAAGCGCCCATCTCTGTACCACAAAGGGGACCTGCGTAACTGCGCGCACACAGCCTGGGTGACAGCTCATTCTGTTAACGAAGCCTATTGCAGATTACAGACTGGTAAAGTTATGAAGGTATGAATGGAAAATGGAGCGACATTAAAAGTAGATTACTGGCCCACAGAAAATACTGGAGTAAAGAGTACAAGTAGGCTACCGTTTTAAAAAAAGGAACGTGAAAAGGTGTCAATTACTTTTTTAATTTTATTTAGGTCTATTTCTTTTGCAAAATTACTTTACTTGTAACAATTAAGTCACTACCCTATCCTGCAGCAGGCGTCCCCACTGCTGTCTTCAGGTACAAAAAATAAACGTAATATTGAGGCATTTTGCTGCACCTGCCTTGAGCAAACATAGATTTTGAAATGTGGGGGGGACATGTCCCCCTCATGTATAATGGCTCCTACGCGTATGATTACAGCTAGAAGGAAACTCTCCATACGCCGAAGGATCAGCTGCACTGTTGAAATGCCTGCGAATCATCAAAACCTAGAGAAAACTCTGGATTTCATGTTGGTTTCACCCCACAGTCCAAATACACGCTGTGCAGGTAAAATGGAAACTGTAAATGCCTGTAGGTGTGATAGATCGGCAGCCAGTCTGCATGCTTTTCCACTGTGCATAGGTTTCACCCCCCTGCAAATTTCAACAGGATAAACACAAAAAAACACAGTGGTGGGAGTAGTTTGGTGGATATCATTGGATAAACAATAATATCACAAGTCTGACTATAAGGGACAAGCACTGACTTATTTAGAGCCAGTAAAAGACTACAGGGCTGGTTCAGCTTATCAGTTAGAAAAAACACACACACACACACTTCCACACACTTGTGGTTTAGAATACGCACTTTGAGGTTTCAGTCCTGTTTGATGTTATATTTTCAGAGTAAGGGCGTTTTTCAACAGTTGTGGGTGTTGTCAACACCTCAAGTTGCGATAGCTTGTTTTGTTTAGTTTTTTTAAACTGTCCTCATTTGATTTATAATTACAGGCTCACCACAGTATCAATAGATTCAGAAGAATATCTATCATATATCAGTTTTTTGCTTTATGGTTTATTGATTATTATTGTATTCTCAGGACTGAAAAGGAGAAGTTGTGTAAGAAATTAGCTACTTTGATTTCAAGGGGAAGGCCCACAAATTTCATGTCTCAGTACTGTGACACCTGACCCACTATGTAGGTCAAGTTTGTCAAAGCTCCATCACATTTGTATTGTTTCTGTCTTTACATGCGCTCTCTTGCTCTTGAATGGAAAACCCATGTAAACGGGAGAACTGTTGCGTAAAGCCATATAAACATATTTGTGATGGACATAGATGGAAGATGACAGATAACACCCACTTGCAATTTTTTTCTGTTTTCTAGAGAAATAACATTTTCTATGAACATAGAAAACAATATTTTCTTAGAGAAACATTTGGGACATTTGCTTGATTATAGTTATATTTCCTCAAAGGTTTCATTTGACCTCATTTTGCATGCTTTTGAAACATTTTGATGAATGGTAATTATAGTGCACTGATACAATTAGAGCCCACTTCGCTGAAAACTTGAACTATACAATCATAGCTCTTTGAAAACTCCACTCCGAATGGTAAATGTGTTCAGCCACGAGTTCTGGTTTTGCTCATATTCAAAAAGTGGTTTCTTGATTTGGGGGTCTGGCATCACTTTTTGGCTCTTGCAAGATGCCTCAAATGCTGGTTCTCAGTATATTATGTGCTTATGGTTGACTTGAAAGTGGTCATGGTCTCAGTGCCACTGCCTGTCTTATGGCATGTGGTTAGGGTCTGCTGGTACATGGTTAGAGGTTTGTCAAGTGCCATGCATAGTGACAATAACAGCATGAAGTGAAGAGTGTGACTGTGGCTTGTCTACCACAGCTGTGCGAGGAGATGCATGAAACCCTCAAACCTGCAGGGAGGGGCACATTTCCATCTGATTGGGAGTTCCTGTTTTTCTCTTGTACTTTCTGAGAAATATTGAGCAAAATAAATTTAAATTTGATGCTTTTGTAAGAATGCTTTGGCTAGGTGCCATGGTCTTGTCAGTGCAAGTGAGATTCTTGCGCCATATCCTTAAAAGTATTGAGCCATGTTACCAAACATTTACAACTAGCTTATAGTGGCACGTGTTTTGAAAGAGCCTTTCCCGTATACGTTATCTTAGGGCAGCTTAACTCACATGTGTTGTTGTAGTAAAATCTACATGATGTCCTGGGAAAACAGCATGATCTTGAATCAAGAGTTAAGTGGTGGAAAATTGTTGAATGTCAGTCAGATTAATGTTGATTTTGTGAAATAGATGGAAGATATTTGTCGAACAATTTTGATTTCTTCGACTGTGAAATTTTAAAATTGTAGGCAGCTGGGAAATTCACACTGTTGTTTTGCCACTTTACAAGGTGATGGAACAAAAGTGACTGCAATCTGTCTGTTGCATATCGAGTGTGTGTGTATGTTTGTGTGTGTGTGTGTGTGTGTGTGTGTGTGTTGTTTTTTGGGTGTGGTGTGTGACTACTAACCTTTTTTGGCTTACTTCCCCATCAAAAATGCACTGCAAAAGTATCTGTAGTCAGCGGCAACTACGCTGTCTTGTCACACACTCAGCATCACCTCCAGCAGCCAGGGTGAGTACTCTCCACTGCACATCATTCACTTCACTCTACACCTGTGATAAATACCTGTAATGGATATGACAGGATACAATTAGAATGCATTGTAAAATAATTAAAATTTTAGAGTGAACAGATTTTAGAATTTCCATTTAACTCTTGGGGTGCAGCATGTAGAAATTTCATAAATAATTAATACATTTATAAAGTTTTTGCTCTGATTTGATTTAAAACAATATGGACCTTCGAAGAAAAGCTTTAATGTGTCTTCAGTCATTTTTGATTAATTGCTTTTGACTGATGTCACCGAAGAGAGTTTTAGGAGAGGAGAAAGAAAAAAGGTGTTTTTGCCCATTTTTCAATTACTTATTATAATATAGTGCAGCAATTCAGTCAGCACTGCTGCTTGGGAATTTAAAAAAAGAATTGTCTAGTAATTTTGCAAAAAGCAATGTGTGTATTTCCTTCGCGTGGTGATTTAAATGCCCTCTGCAGCTGCTCAGTCATCCTGTGTTAACCACAGCTAGGTGGGGTGTTGCGGCACACGGGGGGCATTTAAATAATGCCTTTTAAATTGATTGAAGCGCTGTATTGAGGAAGCATGCACTACAGTTATGATATGAGAGTGAGGGGAATTTGTTTTTGTTTTCACATACAGTAGCTGTATTGAACTTATTCTTATTTCTTCTTCTCAGGTGTGTGTTGTGCAAAGGCAGAGCTCCAGTGGTTAGAGTGTGACGATAGCCTGTTTGATCGCAGGAGTTCCACACTAATTCCCGTGCAGCTCGTACCAGCTCGCTCCGGCCTGTTACCACCACACAGCCTTGATCTTGACCAACCCAGCTGTTGCCATGAGTGTCTTCTCCTCCCTTACTTCCTCCTCCTCATGCCCGGACCTGTACCACTTACCCAGTTACCCTAGCAACACCAACATTTCAGATGAGACCACTAATGCCACTGAGATCAGCCATGTGATCCTGCGGCATTACAACCACACCGGCCGCCTGCTGAACAGGACCATTTCAAACACCCAAGGCCACATCAGTGCCTCCACGGCCGTCTTGCTCTTCTTCAGTATTTTCATCATCCTGGAGAATCTCATGGTGCTGATGGCCGTCATCTCTCGCATCCGCCATAGCCGGCGCTGGGTTTATGTCTGCATTGCCAACATCACGCTGAGTGACCTGCTCACCGGCGCTGCCTACGTGGTCAACATCTGTTTGTCTGGCAGCCAGACGTTTCGCCTCACCCCTGCTCTGTGGCTCTTCAGGGAAGGGATGCTGTTTGTGGCCCTGGCAGCATCCATATTCAGTTTGTTGCTAATTGCTGTGGAGCGTTACACCACTATGATGAAACCACTGCCCCAGAAGTCAGCCAGGAAGACCTACTATAGGATCTATGGCTTGGTGGCACTCTGCTGGGCTTTGGCGCTGATAATTGGCTTCCTCCCTTTGCTGGGCTGGAACTGTGTGTGCAGCCTGGACGGATGCTCCACCCTCCTCCCTCTCTACTCCAAGACCTACATCTTTTTCTCCCTTATTATCTTCTTCCTTATCCTCCTGGCTATTGGCGTGCTCTATGGTGCCATCTACTGCCACGTACACAAGAGTGCACAGTTGGCTCCCCTTCGCAGTCGCAAGCGCTCCCTGGCTCTGCTTAAAACTGTGATCACCATAGTTGGGGTCTTCATGATCTGCTGGGGGCCGCTGTTCCTGCTGTTGCTGGTGGATTTCTTCTGTGCCTCACGCCAGTGTGCACTGCTGTTCAGCGCTGACTTTTGCATTTCCCTGGCTGTCCTTAACTCCGGCCTGAACCCCATCATCTACGCGTTGGGCAGCAGTGAGATGAGGAAGGCTATTGCTGAGCTGCTATGCTGCTGCTGTCTGAAGTCTGGCCTCTGTCACCCAGACACATTCACATCCAAGGATACCAGCAGCACCTCCGAGAGCAGGAGGGACAGTCTGAGGAACAGTTTTAACAAGATCAGGAATCTGAGCGTGGCCTCCCCACCGTCAACTCCTAACAAGCCTCGCAGGGGACCCAAAAAATATAGGCTGAGCTCCACCACCAGCTGCCTGTCAGTTTCAAGTGGTTAAACCACAAAGTGCTCCCCTCCCAAGCAAACAAGACCTGTGTGCACTGATACACATCTAACGGTTTTCTCTGAGTTTTAGTTTGACTGTTCAGTGCTTTCTCAGCAGGCACTGATTATTGCACACTGTCAGAAAACATGAATTTATCCTTAAGTTTGCAGTAATATTACAAAAAGCAGTATTCTTTTGCATTACAAGACTTTCATTTTCACTTACACTTGATCTGTTGTTACACTGTAGCCTAATACCCAGTCAAAAAATGTTTATGTACGTATATTAATGCAATTTATTTACATAAGATTTAATATGGAAATGTATAATGTGTGCAAGGAAAAAATATGTATATACATTGAATGCATTGGATTGTAAAATTTTGTATGAGGATGATTTAATGTTTAAAGACAACTGATGAATATATAAATAAAGTTTATTTTGCTTTATGTATGAGTGCATGCTGATTTCAGGAGGTATACTACCTCTGCTCTCCTCTGGAGGGAGACACATGATCGACACCTTGACTGGCTTCGGTGGATGGATCAGAGGATTCAAAGTGCTTTAGATTTTCGCAAATGCTTCATAGTTTTTCTAAATTTACCATATCTAACTTTTTACATATCCCATCACATTAAAATAACATATTTAAAACTCTGCCAAAAACAAGATCTTTGTTCATTCACCAGTTAATGTGTCTGTACATGAGAGAAAATATTCTTATCTTCAGTTTTAAAGGCTTGTCATCTTTGTTAGACTTAAACAGACTCCTCAAAAGGCCTTTTCCAGGCGGCTCTCCCCTCCCTGCTTTTCTGACAGGATGACTGATTGAAGTTCAGGTGAGGCCTGGGACTGCAGCCCCAAAGGCACACACAGCCCGGGCTAATTGATAAATTCATTATGACAGCCTGGCAGGGTAGATGGATTAGGTTTAGCAGATAGAATGCACCTGTAAGTTATGCAGGCTATACTGTACTTCCGCTATACTTGGAGAACTTGTTTTGTCTTGACGTGAGATTGTGTTTTCACAAAACAAAACATTTGACAACTTTGTCAATCTGCAAAGGCAGAGATATGCAATGTGTGCATTATCACTCTTTTTAATTTTAACTGCAATGAATCGGTAGGTCAGTACTGTATGCTATTTAAAGGTTGAAAGTTTACACAGAATAATGTGTTTGTTTTACTTTTTAAAGTATCTATTCTCACAATTGATGTAGCACAGTTCTCACATCATATCTTAAAGGAATAACTGTTATCATTTTAAAGGCTTGTTTCTCTGTAACATTAAATATTTACTAATTAAACAACAACTAGTTAAAGTTCATAAAAAATATCCATTGGTATTATTTATTACAAGCGGATGAAGATGGATGGATGGATTATTTTAGCTTTTAACACTCGAACTCTCAGCTAATTTGTTGCAAGGTGGAGTGTTTTCAGATTTGTTTGGCAGTTACCTGGAAACTAACCCTAACCCCAACTGTCATCAGATTGTGATTCAAATGTTGCTAAATGGTGATTGGTTCAAAGTACATGGCATCACCTTTTCCCAACTAAACCCCACCCACTTCAAACCAGTGAGAAGTGCACAGGCAAGAACACTAAAAACACGTCTCTCATGGGAAATCTAAAAAAAACTAAGATTGGACTTAAAATAGTGTGTTCATGTAGCATTAAATCACCCAGAGTATGAAGCTGACCCAGGGCAGCTGGAAATCTGTTCAATGAATGAAGAATATATGTCAAGAGGCCTGTTTTGTTCCATTTTGTTTTTACGTCAGCAATCATTAAGATCAAAAGTTTTTTTTAATGTTAGTGTGAAACTTGAACCCATTGGAAAACCATTAAAATAATGATGTGTCAGTGGACATCCTGAAAAATGATGCATTACAGGTTATGTTTGATTGATTACTACAAATTACTATTGACAGATCAATCTGCTGATAAGAGTCTGTGTGGTTATTGTTGTAGTTGTGTGCGTGTGTGTGTGTGTGTGTGTGCGTGTTCACAAACTCATGCTGACGATTAAGAGATTAAGCAAGGTGAGAAGATGGTGAAATATCCTAAATCCTTTTTTCTCAGCCAGAATTTACAGAATATTGTCCTAAATGCCTTAAAGTGTCCCAGTAGACTGTAGTGCTGAAGTCCCAAATTCACCTCTGTTCCATTAGTCTCCCCAGGAAGTGTATTTTCTCATTGAGGGGTTGTTAAAAGCTCAAACATGATACTGGGATTTTCTGTCCATTGTCTAATGAGTACTTATTCACTACTGTTCTAGGTAGTATACTGTAATCAGCTCTTTCCTTTGTCATTTTAACAAAGACAAAACTGATTACACAATATATTCCACATAGGTTTAGTGACAGCCATGCTCTCAGTGTTTCTTATCTTTGTTATCATGTTTCAGTATTTTATGAAGAACAATGAAAGAAGAAAATACACTGGAGCAATAAAAGTGTGGAACAGAATCTAATCTGGAAAATAGATGGGACGATAAATATGCAAGCATAGAGCAATAAGATTAACGTGTTCAGCAGTTACTAACAACATTCAGCTTGATCTTGTTTTGTGCAAACATATGAACAGCTAAAATAATAATCCAAAAAATGTCAAGTTATCCTAACTAATACTATTCACCTGCTTATTAATAATGATTTCAGAGATTTCCATTATCCTGGCAGCCTGTCACGCAGACATTCCCCCTCATGGTGCGTGTGAGCTGCACAGGTTTGTCAGTGACGGCTGGAAGAAGGAAATGAAGCGTTGAGGTGAGAAAGGAAGAAACTTTGCTTCCATCCTTTTACCTGAAACGGCCGCCCACGCAGCGGCTGACATGATTGTGCAGTGCCGTAACAGCAGGAAAGCACACATTCAAATACAGAAAACACAAACAAACATTCATATATTTATTATTCATCATGTGCATATGACAGTGAAGTAACTTGATATTGAGTGTATATAAATCCTCACTCAATTGCAAATGTATATGCATAAGCTAGAGGCCCACACAAGTTCTGTAGATGCGTGTGCACACACTCATAACAGAAACATGCCCGAAACAAACATACCCTACAGTGGTTTATGAGGTTTCTTAGAAGTAAGGATTTTCTGAGGCCGGCTCTCCTCAAAAATCTTTTCCTGTTTTTTTGTGGCTGGGGAAGCAACAAGTCATTGCTGGTTGTGTGTGTTTGTGTGAGCTCCTCTCTCATGAATTCCTGCATCTTTACAGTTAAAAGTAGGGGATAAGCCTCCCTCATCCTTTGTCCTGGCACAGCTCCAAGTCCGGTGCCTGATGAAAAAGCAACAGCAAATTCCTGGCTTTATTAGCTCTTGGCTCAGAGACATTTCTTGTATCATATTTGACATGTCAAGGGTTGATCACCAATCCACGCTGCTCTCCTTCTCCTTCTCCCCTTACAACAACAAGGCCTTTTCTCTGCTCTAAATGAGGTACGATGGGTTAATGATGGTTGCGTGCAGACGTGGCTATGCCCTCAATAATTACCTCACTGGCTTTGCCTCCAGGTGTTCAGCAGACAGCTAATGATGTACTGTCTGAGCAGAAGGGGAATGGGTGTATGAGGAACAGAGAAGCTACACGGGGGGGGGGGGGGGGGGGGGGTGGGGGGGTGATACATTACCATCAGCACTGTCGACAACTTGATGGCACGTGTGCTGCACAAAAACTGAATGTAACCTAACAGCCTGAAAAAAGAAAAGAAAGACAAACTTTACTTTCATCATGAATAAGTCATGATTTTGTTCTCATCTTGAAAAAACTGAAATCAGTTTTAAGTATTTTTATTTACTAAAGGGAAATTCCACTTTTTATCCTGGGTCTAATTTTTTGTATTCATTCCCACAAGTTATAATGACATTTTTCTAGCTTAATTCCTGAGATACAGGACTGACAGCTTTACAACAGACATCACTGACAGACAAAGCAATAACTTTAAAGGCATACTCCACCCAAATCCTCTTCTGAGAAACACAACCCATGAAAACTTGAAGGGGTGTAGCATTTTTGCAGCTCTTTCATGGTGGACAACATGTTTTACAGCAGTTATAATGTGACCCAGTTTCTCGTAGAAATGTTTCATGTACAAATATGACTTCTGGTTTCAGTTCTCATGCACAACCCTCTAAAGCAAGTGCATGAGTTGGTTTGCACACAGACTGGATGTCTAATATGACACAAACCACAATAGGCTTAGACATTTTTTTAATTTGTTGGATTTTCTGGGGCCATTTTGTCCATCTCTGGTCCCCCAAAAACTAATTTTAAAAAATCAACATTCAGCACAACTTGATGAGCTACTTTGTCTCAATATTCATGTTTGAGGAAGATGTATCCTAAGCAGCTACACAGGACATCATCCTGAGAGAATCCAGTTGCAGATGATTTAACTGTCTTTTAGTTACATGAAAACATTGCATGATTTGTGACCTTCCAGTCCATTTCAACAGCAGACCATAGAAGTAAGTAATGACTTGCACAGATTCCTACAACTATGGATAATAAAATGGGAATATTGCAAGTTTCAAAATGACAGCATTACAATGGAATTAATGTACTGAAGGTTCTGGCCATCTTCAATCTTTCATGATCATTCATTTGTCATTTTGCACACAGCAGCTCACATTTTACACGAGGCGGGAGAAAGCACAACAGAGCTTTTTTTGAGTGCCTTTAAAGAAATATGTATGCAATGAGCAGGTGTTTATGTTTTATGTGTGTATACGTAATATGTCATATGTCTGCATATGCATTTATGTGCTTGTGCATCTGTGTACTCTTGGATCTGCTGTAGATGTGTTTCCACAGTGATATGAAGCAGAGAGCAACAGACAGGTGTCCGCTTGGTCCGGCAGTCATTATCTGGTCTTTCTCATACACACACGGGATGATTTCATAAACTGGCAGCATCAGGAAAATGTCTCTTTATTTAACCCAGCGGACTCGCTAGCCTGCGTAAAACTCCCCAAGAAAACATCCGCTTTATTTGACGACCATACAGCGTCCCATTCCACATTCAGACATCAATAATGGCTGTACAAATATCCAGTGTTGTGGTTACAATTATACCCAATCAATCAATGTGTTTGCCATTTTCCTTTGGGCTGCTGACATGCTCTTGCAACAAGGAGAACAAAAGGCCAGGAAGGGTGTACATACTGCCACACAAAGCAATCAAACATTTACATACAAGACCCTTTTCTTCTGTCTTTCTGTCGACTGCACCTGGTTGAGGAATCTTGTCTGAGGAGGCCGGAGAGCTGCGTTCTCTTCTTCCCTGGCGTTAGTGGATCTGATTTAGGATTTATATACTTTTCGTTCAAAGTTTAAAAGTTATGCATGTCTCTATAGTTAATACATAAACACATACCAAACGTGTCTGTTATTCCCCACACACAATGTGGGTCTCTAAAGATACACAGTAGCAAGAGAACAGCTCACAAGGAAAGAGTAATGATGAGAGAACAGGGCAAGACAATTTCTGTTCAGTTGTTTCTTGATTAAAGGGGAATGGACTGCGACGTTGTCTTCATTCTGCGTTGTTTTTTCTCTGTATCTTAATAGAAGAATAGCTACATAGATAAACAGAAGCCTAATTGTTCTAGAGAGATTTCTTCTGATGCCAGTGTGGGTAGGCCTACATGTGGAGGAGGAAGGGCTCTAAAAATCTACACCATCTCTTGGCGCAGCTGTTTCCTCTTTATCAGATTCTAGATAGTGGGACTGCAGATCCAAAGGAGAACAAGCCAGAAGTTATGAGATATAAAATGATGAAGGCAGACACACTGTCAACACAAATTCAGTTATTACATTTTTTTTTAAATGGTTAAGAAAAGTAAAAAACATGCTCCAACAAGATGATAAATTGCCACAAGCACACAAAAGTGCTTTTTCAGTCTTCTTTCATTGTGAATGTAGAAGATAATTACCAAAGAGACAACAAGTTTCCTCTCTAGGGCTGGATGTCGGCCATCTCCAGTGACTTTACACTTGACCTTGGGAATTTATGCGAGAGTGTTTTCTCTCCTTTCTTAATCCCTTCTCTCATTCTTGCTGTGCTTTGGCTGAGCACCGTGACCACTTAACTAATTGTGTTGTGAAAGATGTTCCAAGGGTGATGCTTCAGCTTCGTTTTCTTAGAGAGGGGCTCTGCAGGGGACTCGTTTGGAAACAGTTAACATTCTAGAGCTGTGCTATGAGATTGTGTTTAGGAGCTCACAGTGACAATGCTAACAATCTGATGGTAAGCAGGTATAAAGTTCTTACGGTTAAGACAATTCTCCAGGAAGTCACTAGCTTACACCTGACCAAGATATAGACCAGCACATAACTCACTGTAACACCAACAGTCATTTAATATTTCAGTTTTTGTACAGATCAAGCAAGCAAGATGTAAGATGTTACTTAATGAGCTTTAGAGGTGCTGGTAGGCAGAGCCAGGCTGGCTGTTTCCCTTTGTTTCCTGTCTTTGTGCTAAGCTAAGCTAACTGTCTCCTGGTTTAAGCTTGGTTTTGATTACATAGGTATTAGATAGGTATCGCTCGTCCCATATGACTTTGGCAAGAAAGCAAATAAGCATGTTTCTCAAAATGTTGTGCTATTTCTTTAAAAGATTACATGGTTTGAAGACGTTGATATATCACCCTTTGTTAAAAACAAATACAGTCCACTGGTTTTGGCAACCAGCTCCATACAGTATTTAATAAAACCCAGCTTGAGGAGGATTTGGACACAGGCACAACATTTGTGTGTCTTTCTTGAATGCGACCCCAGATCTCTGACTAAATAATACTAATAACACTGAAAATATTAATGTCACAACTGTAAATACTGTGTATTCACACAGTAAATCTATTTCATGTGAGTCATCTGGCTGAATGAAACACTTTGTCTTAAAGTTTAAAACCTCCTGCAGTACATATGAAATCCATAAAGCACATTCTTAGTCACTGTCCGCCCAACTGTAAATCCTAGATGACTTCGTACATTTGAACCTTGCATTTCAAAGGCCTTTCACTCTTCTGCTCTCATTGCTGACATTATTCTTGAGAGGCTTTGGACTCAAATTTGTGACTTCCAGGTTTGGAGGTCCTGTGCTGCCGAAGCGTCCCCACTGCTTTTTCATGTGGCCTGAGGAATGGAAGGAGCTGAAGCTTTGTAGAACAGATGTTCCCGTTCAGCTCTAAACCAAATTAGGCAGTCAAGCTCACAGGCAGTGGCCAGAACCACACAAATGCTGATTGAATGGTGGAGGGGGCAACAAAAGCAGATCAGGCTCAATAAAGCAGCCACATCGTGAAATCTGCTCAGCCTTTGAGGCTTGAAAATAAAAGGGATATTGACATTGCTATGGAGACTAAAAGGGGAGCTGGAGGCTCTGGTCTGAGTACCTTCACTGGCTGTGAGGATGTGAAATCAAGAACGTGTATTGTCGTGCTTTTGATTTCGATGTATGAAACAGGCAGCCTGCAACTGGTTGTAACAATAACTCAAATAGAAAGTTGAACCTTTGACCTTTTGCAGTTTGCTGGAATTTGTCTGCTACAACAATGACAATAAGAAAACCACTACTGCCACACTGGTGAGGATTTTAGAAACATTAAGATCATTAAGATCACCTCTAATATTTTGACCAGACAGCATACTGTAAATAGTCAGATTTTATTTTTAGTATTTGGATTTTAAAAATAAAATTCATATATTCAGCTAACTGTTCAGTGGCATTGTCTGTACAATTTATTTTCTGGCATGAACGTCTCTGTCCTGTGAAACCATGAACCACCAAAATGTCACCATTTCATGAGCAAAAAAGTCCAGTTTCACCTTTTCTGACAATGCATTTTTCAGGCAGTCTAATGGGGTTTTTCAGTGGTTTATTTAGCCTGAGAAGTGGAATAATTTTTTCAATCCATAAACGATCATTTACTCATAAAGGGGAACAGCACTGATTTTACACATCAAAGTTTGTTTACAGGACTGTGGGGAGTACTAATGCATTGGCTTTGTGAAAAAAGTCTTTTGTGCCAATGATTAATTGTCTCAAGCGGTGTCACTTCGGTTGGAGCTGAACATAACACATCCGATGTCCGCCCAAACTGCTGGCAGTTGAGTTGTAGTGTGGGTAATGTAGGAAGAACAATGTGTGGAGTGAAAAAAGACGATTAATCATGAGTTTGACAATATTATATCTAAAAATTCAAAATCGGCAAATTTGGAGATGTGTGGTTTCGTGTGTGGACAGTGACTCTCCAAATAGAAATAATGAACCCTTTATATATTTGCCTAACAGCAGTCAAACTTGAGTATATTGAGTCTAAAAAAACACTGGAATAATCCTGTAATACAAATATAAACTCCCTCCTGGTTCCCAAAACCCCCAAAATGACCTCATGAACTCAGTTTCCTCAATGGGAGCCATGACCCTGACTGGTAAACTCATGGCAGCCCCATCATTTCTCATCACCACAGAGATAATCTCACATTTATTTTCATTTATACTCATTTCAGTCTTTTGTTACGTCATGCCTTTTTGATTACCTTTTTATACTTTCCCTCCGAGGAATAAATGATATTATTGTGAATAAAAAACAATGCCAGAATTTCTTCTCAGGCTCATTGAATCTTTATTACATTAAATGGTGGCTGAATTAGTAATGAAATGAAACATAAGTTGCATGTGTAACATCAAAATAAATCATGCTCCAAATGGCTGAAAGTAGTTAGAAACTTACTGACATTTAGAATAATGCACTTCATGCACCATTGTCTTCAACGTTCAGTTTAATGAAATGCTTACACAAATCATAGCTAACTTGTCAGTGGTACTCCTTGGCTGAAGCAATGCCTTGAAGTCAATATCACACCGCTGACACAATGAAATAAATAACTCTCTAACCTTTCTTTGCGCAATCTCCTTAAGGTTGGAATGAAACATTTATTTGTAGAAACTCAAAGTAAAATAAGAAATATAATTTTATGGTGCCAACCACGATCAGTGGAGTTGCTGGATAAGAGCAGATTCATCATGCTAGCTAATGAGCTTTCATTTTCCTGTACGCTGTGAAATCTTCAAGATGAAGCACTTTTCCTTTGGTAGCTTGTGAGTTATCTGGAATGTGGGGAGGAAGCAGCATTGCACACATTCCCAGTGACTATTAATGGGGACTGCTGGGTGACATCAATTATACAGGCATAGCAGACATTTCACCAGGATTACCTGACAATGAACTCCAGTCTCAGTCTGGCCTTTGACAGCACAGAAAGACAGAAAAGAGAGAGAGAGAGAGAGAGAGAGAGAGAGAGAGAGAGAGAGAGAGAGAGAGAGAGAGAAAGAGAGACATAGGGAAGGATGAGAGACGTGTTTGCAGCCTTTTCAAGGGAAGAATGCTGAATTTAAACATGAAGGCTGAGCAGAACAACAAGATCGACTGCATCAGTATGTAACAGTATTCACACAGTGGCTCAGGACAGCAGAGCCTACCTATCAAGCAAAAAATGGTAAATCTGCTTATGAAACATTCATATTTTAGCAAAGAAAGGGACAGTCATCTAACACGAGCTGTACCGCCTTGAATAGACTTCAGGGTTCAGTGCCATCCTCTGACAGGTTGGAGGGTTCAGGTTTGATTTTCATCAGGGCACTCAAGGCAAACACCGCTCTGTGCTGGGCGTGGTCAACTCAACACTAGAGCACTGCAAGAGAAATGTTGAATCTGGGCTGGGCTGTATAGCTGCATGTTCAGTGGAAGTTGGTGAGGTAACACGGGACATTGATCCAGCTAGTTAGTGGGCTCCACTCCTGTTCCTGCTGAACTGAGCCAGTTTTCAGATAAAACACTGATACCAGTTCAGTAGGCACGGGAGGGCACAGCCCAGACATGGCAGAGTTTGGCATGTGTGTAATCTGCCTTCTAATACACGAGGATTTTAGTTAGCAGCATATGATATCTAACATGCAGTTTAAGAACAGGGTAAATTTACCAGCAGCTGCTATGCCTGTCAAGCTGTCTGAGTGTCGCATGGCACATATGCTGCGATAACAGCAGCGGGATTACAACAATTATTCTAAACATTCTTAGTAATTATCATCCTTAATTTCTGATAGTCATAGAAAAATGCATTTTTTCATTTCTAGAGAGCAACAAGATTTTTCTGCCTGAAATGTCAACTGTCATAGGTAGATTATATCAATTTAGCTATTTAGTTTAAAGGTTAACAATGCTTTTTTGTGTCCATGTGACTCGTTTAAAATGAGAATCTTCAAAAAAATCGGGAAATGGGAAAAATCTTTATTATTACAATGCTAAAACACTGAGACTAATGTTCCAGGCAAAGTCAGCATCCTCACCAGTTGATAATATAATATAAAAAACAGGAAATTAAAGAAGCAGCATTGTTTTTGTATTGCAGGGTAGACCTAGCTTATTTAGTCTTATTAGTATTATTGTATGAATGACAAGGAAAAATGTAAAATCCGGCTGTTAATTTGCTCTAATATATATCTTTTTAACTGTTTTGTATTTCCACCAGTTTTTACTTATAACATTACAAGAGAAAAGGGTTTTAGGGTGATGACTGAAATATATAAAGTAACGTTGACTGAATGTAAACTTCCCCAAATCAAATAAAGAACAGGACAAAATCTGCTAACACTACCTACACTCTGATAACATCCACACAGTGGAGAAATAATACACAGGTAGTTGTAAACAGGCCTTTTTCCAGTAATCTGTAACTCTACAGATTAATGATGTGAGTTAATGATGTACTCCTTGGCCTTGGAAGTAGTATGATAGACATACTAACAACTGTAGCTGGAGACTGAACAGATAAACGCACTGTTTAATCCATTTCAAACACTTTTGCTCTGTTGTTTTTGATTAAAAAAAAAGACACAAATCTTTAAACTCTTTAAATTGTGAGTATTTACTCAGTACTACAGGCCCATGCACATCATTTTAGCTTGAAATTCAAAGCTTGACAGGCTTTCCGTGCTTAGTTAAGGTTGCTAAGTTATGATTAGACAATCACTGCTTGGGGAGGGGTTTATCAAACAGCTAACGAGGTTTATATAGGTTCCCAACCGTTCCCAACACAAGTCCAGGCTGCCGTGTGGCACCATAACACTGGCACACTAGTCCTGAGCAAACTCATTTTGACCTGAACTGGGCATGCCCAGACGGGTCTGACATTTAGCAACACATTCCTAAAATTGCAGTACAACCTGTGGCATTTTTAAGTCCACATTAAACCCGGGTCAATCTGTCTCACTAAAGCGCTCTCAAATATATTATGCATGATGGTTCTTGCCAGATGCATACAGTAAAATAAGAGAGTTGTTGCTTCAGGGAAACACTATTAAACAGGACATTTTGTCTCACCTCTGGACAGAATTGCACAATCAAGACCTGCATTTGGTCCACAGCAACACATTTAACCCGAAGAGCTCTTTCATGGGACCTTTAGTCTTCCCAATCTCCCTCCCTCCCACCTAATCTCTCGTCACTCCTCTTCTCCTGCTCCCTCCTCCTTTCTTCATATCCGAGATCATCAAGTTCTTTCCAGTCACCGGAACAAATCCCCTCCGTTGAATCAACTATTTCACCTCAGGCACTGAACTTAGCCACTGTGAACAACACATAGCAGGGATCAATGCTCACCAATTAGCTAAGCTCTGTGCCTTTAGCAAGTAGGTGGCTGGCTTTTGAGGGAACAGACTCACGCAGACCTTTACGTGACTGCTCAGTGGTAAAGTTTGGTGGGTTTCAAAGCTTGCAATGGTTATGATGTTGAGGTTTGTGTTGCCTTCAACACGGCTAACTCAGATTGTGTTTCAGAGTGTGCTGACAATGTAGGATATTGGCCTTCATTTAAAAGTTGTTCGAAACGTGATCTGCCTCCAAAAATTTGTTCTATCATGTAAAGCTGGATGGCTCTCATGCATATACATGGACCTCCTGGCTGATTTGAAATGGGAAATTAAGGAATACAGTTTAAATTTCAGACAGCTGCACATTTGACTACAGCCTTAAATGCATTTAAAGACAGTATTTAAGGGAAACACGTGTTTTCACAGTTTTCCGTGTGAGAAACTGACTTCACAAGTTAACCTCTTGAAGTCTATTGAGAGTAGATCACAATATGTGTCTAACCACCTACAATGTATATTCCTTCAACTTCATAGCAACATACAGTGCCAGAAAATAACTGAAAAACAGAACAGCCAAGAAGACAACACACAAGCTTCCCACTGTGGAAATATAATGCGGTCACCTGCTGAGCTGTGAAAGAGTGGAAATCCCTGGCAATGTGATTTTTGTTTCTCTATGTGCATCAAATCACGGTGCCAGGAACCCTCCCCACCACAGCCAGGGGCAGACTGGATCCACTCTGCACCTCTCTGCCCTTCTCCATCCTCTGTATCTTGTCCAACATCTTCCTAGGCTCCAGATGCCTTCGTCCGCAGCAGCTGTGGAGCACCTGTGACCTGAAAGAAAGAGGAAAAGAGAGACGTGGGAGTACATTACTTGCCAGAAAGTCCAAACAAAACCTTTGCATTACAACTCGATCTGATCTGATGATAATCTATGATCCATGTCAAACCACTCGTGTAACCCAGGAATGAAAGGTGATACAGCTTATCTCTGCAACAAAATATATTAAATTTGTGGGACGTGAGGAATGACTCTGCAGACTTCTCCGTTGCACAGATCAGCAGGATGCAGCAGATGTGGAGTCTAGTTGGAACATGCAGAGCCAGCTACCTGGTCAGTCTATGCAAAGCAACTCGGGAGCAAAAAGCAAACACTGCCTATTTGAAATGGCGAGCAGAATGCAAACTGCCTGGTGCTCCTGGATATCACTGTAAAGAGACTATTATACTATAAAATGTCAGATGAGGAGAACATGCACCATAAGGAGATCTGTGTCTTGTTTTTGCAAATAATAAGCAAACTTTGACAAATGGATTTGGTTTTGTTGAGCCTTTTTTTCCCATTTAACAAGTTGGATTCAGGTCAGAAGGGTCTGTTTGATTTGTTTTCCCATTGTATATGGCTTGACGTTGCTGGGTGGGTTCACAAGGTGAGATGTAGAAAAAACAAACTCAAGCTCTTTTTACAACTTCCTTCTTGAAATATTGGAGCTGCACAGTGTATTATTATCTTTTGTTGTCGTTGTTTGTGCTGTTTTTCAGGGAAAATTCCAGGCCCACCATGGTGAGGAAGGAATAATGACAGGATTGTTGAGGAGTGAGGAGGAGGTTAGGACTGAGTCTCAACAGTCTCTCCTTGATTGTCGGCATCTCCTCACACTTGATTTGAGAGTCAGAATGATTGATGATTGGAGGACCACATCTTTTTTTGTTTGTTTGTTTTTTCCTTAAAGGCAGTCTCCTCTGGGAACTGCACACAGCCAATAAATAGTCCAGCACAGAAAAACAGTGAATTGTCATTTGTATGCTTTAGGTTTTGTATAGATTTTAAAAAACAAGATATAACGTGGTAGGTGGACTTGTTATTTCCAGTCTTTGTGCTAAGCTAAGCTAACTAGCTGCTGGATGTAGCCTTACTATTTAACAGACAATCTCATCTGTCTGTGAAAAGTCAAAAAAGAGTGTTTTTCCCAAAATGATTAACTAGTTGTGCTCTTTTGTCTAGTTTTATTACAGTGTATATGCCATTGATTAACAGATTACAGCAACAACTTGTGTTCCAATTCCAGTGAGGTCCATGACTGAAGGATAGACTTAAAAGATCTGTCCATAATCAACTCTGCAGGAGTACAGATCCCTTCTGAAAGGACTGTCATCAGTGCATTTTTAAAATCCTGATAATTACAAAGAAAATTCACAAGACCTGTCTTTAAAAATCAGAGCTCCACTCTTGTCTACACCTGCAGGTGCATATAAACATTACAATGTCCGCTGACAGGATCTCAACAGCATCTGTACACTCTCAGCCGTAAACAGGGTGACGCACTAGGGGAACGATGAGTCTTGTGTTGTTTTTACCTGTCTCGTTATGTGCTATTGAGTTGTACTTTATGTATTTTGTCTGTTAGTGGTGTGGGGTGATGTGTATCATCCCTGTGATGCACCGTTCTGTGAAAAAGACGATAAAGTCTAACTAACAACATCCTTTTATGAAGGAACTGGGTGTCTTCCACGGCCCTGCTGTTTACATGCAGAGACACAGTACATGTTGTACAACCTAACGAAGGTGTTAAGAATCCTTCCAGACAGAGAAATATGTCTGTTCTGTCAACCAGCGTTAACAGTCTGCCCCTCCCTGCAGAGGAATCATGAATAAATATCTCTGTCTAGGCTGTGTGTGTGTGTGTGTGTGTGTGTGTGTGTGTGTGTGTGTGTGTGTGTGTGTGTGTGTATGTGTGTGTGTCGATGATTTGCATGTATGAGTTGGAGCGTGTTGAGTGTGAAAGAAAAGAAGGAAATAGTGAGAGTGTGAGTGAACCAAAGGGAGTGGCCATTCCCTCTGACATGTCTATGAGTCAGTGTTTGTTTGCTGGGTGTGAAAGCTCGATATGGGAAATCATTGATTGGTGACAGTATTGTCAGGTTTAATTGCATGGTGTGATGATGTGACATGTTTTTGGTAAGCAGGGTTAATTACAGAGGGGCATGCAGAGGTTTGATATGGTAATGCTGAAAACAAAATGTCTAACTAATACTTACTTTGATCAAGAAATCTTGATGAAGACAGTAGTAAAAGTAGGCCATTATAGGTTTACAGAGCCAAACATGATGTATTCAAATGTATTTTTTATAATCAACTGTCAAAACAGTCCAAAAGAAAATTTTTTTTGATCAAATATGACAAAGCAAAGCAGCAAATCCTCACATTTGAGCAGATGGAACTAGAAAATGTTCAGAAAACTCTGCGGTAGATTAATAATCCATTGCAGAATAAAAATGAACAGAAAAAAGTGCCACCAGGACAAGATATTGTTCAGCTTGTGTTCAGCTTGACATGATTTCCATATGTCCACAGCAGCTCACTGTTATATATTTGTGGTTTGTGAAAGCATAATTTCATGGCTCCAGTTCGAGTCCATATGAACAAAATTTACACCCTGATGGAACTTATTATGTACATGAGGCTGAAGGTGTGAACAAGTCACCACATTTAGAAAGTGCAACATTTGCGCTTCCAGCTGAACAAAAATGACCTCATTTACGCAGCCTTGTTGGGCAAAAAGCCAAAGGAGAGTGGAAATAATACAGAGCTCAAGTGGCATTTGGTAACCTAAAAGCGCAAAGAGGCCTGCACAACTGCACAAAATTAATAGCAACATTTATGTACACATAAATATCCACAAATATCTAACTTTCTTCCTACATTTTCTTTCAAAGGTGACAAAACCACACCATTTGCTGAAAAGCAGTTATCATGTAATTCTGCTCTAGGCAGCTGGCAGTGTTTACGTGGAAATCTTGTGATATATATGTGGTGGTGACCACAGGCGTAGGATTCACATCTGAACACAGCCGTGCAGCCCTGACGTCACCCTGCATCTCACACATTTGTGCCACAGCGATTTGTCACACTGCTCTCACAAAACACAGACACAAAGTGTTGAGAGAGAGAAGGAGAAACAAAACACAGAGAGAAATATAAGTATGTAAGAATGTGTGAGTACACATCAAGTCTAACTGCATTGGGAAAGCTTTGTTTATGGATGCCATACTGTCATGCTGTTCTAGTCTGTAAAGTGTGCAAAGCTCTTCTGAAATTTTGAGCAGTTTTAGAGACAACGTCTGAAACCCCTTCCCACCGACTATGTCCTAGAATCTCTGTAACTTTCCAAAACTAACGTGTTGCATGTTATTCTTAGACAGCTATTTCTGTCACTTTTTGTGTGTACAAAGGAGTGCTACACTGTTGATGCCTTCCAGAAGTGACAAAAAGTTTGTGTTATCCCCATAATTTGAACAAGTATTGCATCTCTCTAGAACGACCCTCACCCTTCACCCTGCCTTCAAGTGTAGCTGTTCAAACAGCAACAAGCACATTCGAACACTTTCCGAACTATTCAAGTTTATTTCAACTATACTCCTGCCATAAAGGGTCTGGTATGCTTTGCGTATGTCAAACAGCATCTGAAACCCTACCCCCACACAATCTGTTCTGTCCTAGAGGGTACTGCAGCCGACCATTTCTGTAACTTTCTGAAACCAGTAATCCGACAAGCACTCCCATTTCATATGTTCTGGTGCCAAGGTGAGAAAGCAGCATAATTTTAACTTATCGTGTGTTCAGACAAGACATTGAACTGAAAACAATTTTAAAGGTGGCGCGTTAAAACTAATGGAAAGACAAGTGGGTGCAAATTCGCCCCGGGGCAGATGCAAATACACAACTGTGTGAATTGAAAATGTTTCAACTGGAGTTTGGAACAACCATAAACATGTTCGCTTTCAGACATGGTCGAAGACGCATCATGTGAACTTGTTCGTTTTGAGTGTACCCTCTGATCAAGAAGAAATAGTGCAGAGATATTATACAGCTGCATTCGCTACAACGGACAGTGGTAGAATCAGTGTACGAACTACACCATGGCTTTCGGGGGACACACTTTTTTTGGGTATGGGGATAATCAATGGTGTTGGGCCGAAACTTGCCAAATGGGATCCATTAAGATCCACAAAAATGAGCAATGAGATCTGTTTTCATGCAACCTATTGAGGTCCTTGCTGTCAGTATTATTAACGGCAGAAAAACCCCTCTCACACTCAGGTGAAGAGGTAAGGTATGTCCTGCTTGCTGAACAAAGCTTTTCCAGGGTATCGCCTGGTGCTTTATCTTAAATGAATCATGGCGATTCAGCATGCATGAAGAGGGACTAAGAAAGTTTTTTTTCCCCTGATCTTCGAGTTAAAGTGAGTGAAGTTTATGATATTGAAAATGCCACGCTTAGCAAAAGTGATGACAGGAATAGCATGCATACCTTAATTAAAGTGAATTAGTGATGAATCACCCTCATGCATGGATCGCTATCAATGATAGCCTAATTTTACTCATGGTCCATGAAAAATAGAACTGTATTGGCAAAAATAGCATATTGTCAATATTTTACAACTCATGTTTGGAGGGGAGCTCATGGCTTATTAAGAAGAGCCAAGCTCCCTGGCTGCCCTGTAGTTTGCACCCTGGGTAGAATTGATCAGAGAGCTAAAACATGAGACCCCTGTCTCAACCAATCACACCTCTGTAGGTAACTAAAGACGCCATGAGCATTAAAAAGGCATTACCAGGGCTTGTTGGGTCTGAGCTTCATTATTTAGCTCATTAGATCACTCAGTCCCGATAAACCAGCCCTCACATATGACTGATGAAGGGGGCAGGCATCAAGCTGGAGCTTTTTCTCATGTCCCATTAACAATAATCCACTTTGCATTGCGTTAATGCAATTTGGTGGGGATGTAATTTCATGCAAAATCAATCATTTCCAAACTTTTCTTAGAAACGAAACAGAACAGAAGACATATGAGACTAAACAGATTTGGGAATTTTATGTCAAAAAGTACCTGATGCTAAATCATTTGAATGTTATCTTTATAGAGACTCTGACTCACCTCTTATAGGAACAATGGAGAAATGAAATAATGATCTGGCCTTCTGCGCTGACAGGAACATGATCCATTATAATGCATGAGGGGTAATGGCACAGCTGCATTAAAGCCTGGCATAGGCTATCTCTGAATCTGATAGTAGTAGCTATCTCAGCTATTAGCTAATAGCTGTGGCTATGCTGATAACATTTTGACTAGAAGGGAAAGACTCTCAGAAGGAACCTGAGAATAAAGAGAGGTGTAGTACAGAGTGAAAAGGACAGAGATCGTGACACACAAAAGATGGAAAAAGTACGAAAGATGAAAGAGATAACATATGCAGCATATGTGTGGGAGAGTGACGTAGCGTTGGAAGACACACTTAGACACAACAACATTCATTGGTTCATCTGAGGACACTGCGACGAATAAGTTATAAAGTCTCATACCAGACTCAGTTAAATCAACCACTTTCTTTTGTGGCACACCCTGAACGCAGCATTCTTACAATTTCACAAAGAACAAAAGCTTAATAACAAAAGCTCACTAGGAGTCCTTCCCTTCTTGCCTTTATCTGATCAGCATTATTCCGAACATCAGCCAATAAAAGTTGTAAATAAAAATTTGAAAATAGCAGGTGAAAGCTGCAGCTGCAGAATCTGGCGATTCATCTTCTTATTTACTTCAGATAAAGTTAAGGAGGGAGTGAAGGAGGTTCGGGAGGGATTCCTGACTGACTATAGAGAGGCCTCCGTCAGCATGGCGTGTGAGACAGCCAAGAGGAGTTGGCGTGTTCGGATTGTGACCTCTGTAACCGGCAGGCTCCCTCCCACTCCAAGCATGCAAACTCTCCACAAACTGAAGCCTGTTTTTCCACCACACATGGCTTCAATTGGAGGCTACTGCTGCTGCTTTGTCTGCAGCGCCGGGAAAAAAACAACAAAAAATACAACTATGCACAGATCGACAAACCTGATTATGAAATCAGTGACTGGCAAAGAAATTTAACTGGCGGTGTCACTTAGTTGTAGATATTTCTGCAAAACTTTTCTCTTTTTTTGTTTGCATGCATGCATGTGCATGTGTGTTCATGTGTAGGTTTGTGCGTGAACAGGCCTATATTTAAAGTCTTGCTCCAGCACCAACAAGGCAAGCTGTTTACTACTTGGTTGATCGTAAAAAGTAAATATGCATCAGTCGGGGCCTATCAAAGGCTCCTTCATTTGGTTCCTGGCTAAGATGGCTTTGAATGTGTGCTGTAATTGCCTCGGCTCAGACAGAAATTCTCTGTGGTAGACGCATGGCCGGACTGAAAGCGCTGAGGGAAACCATGCTGTCCTGTGCACTTAAATACTCCACAGTTGATCTGAGAGGAACTAGCAAACACACAAAGTGCACGGAAACCATGAGAGAGGAGAAGGCCATGTGGCTGCACATGGGACATCGTCACAGTAAACTGCTGTAGAGTCACACAGGTGCACCTCGTGCAGGAGAACACACATAAACACACGCATATAAACTCTTATTGATGAAAGCAAAATTAGCAGTAAAACCCAAATGACAAACATCTGTTCATTGTTCTTGTGACAACGCCCATGTTAACATCTGCCTCAGCCAGTGAGTATGCACTGTTTCGCCTATTCTGAAGTAGAGTTTAGATTTAAAGCTGAATTAACTGATATTTGTCCACAAGGGGGCAGAAACACTCCCAAAAAACAGAAATACAGCGTTAACAAAAGGGAAGTTTATCAATTTGTTATGGCTAACCTGTTTGCATTAATTACCTTCTTATACTTTTAGCAGACACATTAGGCATCCCATTGGAGTATTATTCCTGCCCACCTGACAAATAACACTCCATTATTCATTCGCACTATTCATTGTGTGCACGTTCTTTTGTTTGATTGACTAACTCAAGCAGAAGACTTATCTGGGTGGTTATCTTGATAAACTTTCCTCAACAGCCAGTCTTTTATTTAAGCTTGGTGCCCCTTTGTGTTTGTTGCGTGGTATCGGCTTGTCTAAGCTTGCTTGCTGTAAATGGGTACTTAAGGTTGTTTTTTTATCAGAGGGGGTTACTGAGACTGTGACACTCAAGCATGTAGTATTATGTGCGAGCAGCGAAACCAAAAAAATAGCAAAAAGCAACTAAAAGATGCATAAAGCTGCAGAGCTGGATGATAGTTATCTGTCTGTAAAGCATGACAAGTGACAATTTATTATTTTTTTGTTAATAGTAAAACACCACTAAATGCATCTATAAGCAGGAAAGCAGGACTCCTTTATGTTCCCCTATTACAGTTACATTATACTGCTGCATTTGAAATAAACACTTCCAGAAGTATACATTTTCTCTAAAATCATTAGCATTGCCCTTGTGTAACATGTCTCTTACACATGGGAACAACTCTGCTGATTTAGTAGACCCAGATAAAGCTTTGGGGCATGCTCAAATATTTGAACTATTTGTCCAAAAATGTTCTGCGCACTTGACTTTAGGGTTAGTTTATCAAGTGAAACTCCTTTTCCAAACAGTTGTGAGATTATGGCGTTATACAAAAACCCACAGTCATGAGTTTGCTGAGAAAAAGTGCTGGTACAGCAGCCAACTGTCATGCAGGTGTGTGTGTGTGTGTGTGTGTTTGTGTGTGTGAAATATTATCTGTTTTTCTTTTCACAGAGATCAAAATCAACTGCAGGTTTATTCAACATTTATAGGGTTTTTATAGATTTGGCAGTACAAAATCCACTATGTTACGCTCAAAAGTAGCCTGGAGTAAATAAAGATTTTATTTTCCATTCCTCCCTCGTAAACAAGATTAATCCACTCATGTGAAATATATTTGGTGAGCCCATGATGGCTGTAAAACCAAGTACTTGTTTGCCGTACAAACCCATGCCCTGTCTTCTCAAGCGCCATCACCAAAAGAGCAAATCTAGACTGTAAAAACTGCACAAAGTCCATAACATCAGACTGAAGCTTTGATCATATCTGTTGTCTTCTGTTGAGTTTTTGACAAGTCAGCTGCTAAAGGGAAAAAAAGGATGAAAGAATAAGGGGCACATAACAGAGCAACACCATTAAAAATTGGAAAAGGAACACTACATCCACAGAAGGAAAAGAGTCAAAGGAAAAAAATGTGTGTGAAAAAGCATGTGAGAGACGGAGAGGGGTGTTTGCCACTCACCATGCCCACAGGTCCGCTTTTGCTACTCGGCAAGTCTGAGTCACCTTAGAGTTCAGATGAGGATACGCACAAAGTGGAAGAGTTGACTCTATGGGGAGGACACCACTGATCAATTTACTAGCTGGCTAACTAACCATCTGACTGGCTAATGACAGACGAGACAACTGCTCGGCTGCCTGACTGAGCGTAACTCTGCCAACTGTGCCATTTCAGATCCAAGAATCAGTCAGCAGTGCAATCCTCAGAGCCCAGGTCTCCCACTGAGGTCTCACTGCCAAAACTGTCCTGTCTTGTCATGTTCTGCTCTGTCCAGGGCCGCTTCCTGGAGCTCAACAGCCCAGAAAGAAGCAGAGAGAGGGTTTAAAATGAAGAGCTGTCTCCCGTGTTCCCACAGTCTGCCGGGAGGGGAGGAGAGGAGAGGAGTGGAGGCTGCACCGTTCCCAGAGAGGTCAGATGTGGAGTTAACACACCCAGCCAGCAGGCTGGTAACTGCTGCCTGCCCTGCTACCGGAGTTCTCTCCCCCTCTGTCTCCTCCCTGCAAAACTGATAAATCACTCTGGAGACACAGCAGAGCACCAGCCCACTCAGCCACTCACACACAGCCAGGAGTAACAGCAGAGACAGAGAGACTTTCAACCAGTTGTCCCAAGAGATCCACTGTCCACATGAGTCTGGAGGCAGAGCTGCCAGATCTCCTTCTTCCCTCCCTCTTCCCTCCTCCCTATCCCTCCCTCCATTCTTCCCTCCTTCCCTCCCTCCCTACCGCTCCTCTTTCATTCCCCTCTCTAGTGGTTTTTTTTTTCCAGCCTCCGCTGAGACCATAGGCTGAGACACTCTTATTGTGGCAATTGCATTAGCCTTTAGCGAGCAAGGAATGGCTCTTAGTGCGTAATGCAATGTTGTGTCAATCCGTCTTTTCTCTCTTTCTCCTTATCTCTTTTCCCCCCTTCCTCTCTCTCTCTCTCTTTCTCTGTCTCTCTCCCAAGTGTCTATCAGTTTGACATGTACACGTACACAGACCCACCTTCCTCTCCTTCCTTCTTTGCAGCTTTTCTTCTTCCTCTGTGAGTTATCCCTTAAAGGGACACTGTCTCTTTTTTTGCTCTTTCATGGAGGTGCTGAGGTACTTTGAAGGAGTGCAGGTGCAGGATCATATTTCTGGAGGCTGAGAGGCATTGATTGCGTTTCTCTGCTTGGCTTGTGATTGTCTCAGATGTTTACCCACTATTACAGAACTAATGGTCTACTGCAAGAGATATGTATGCAGAATCAATGAAACAACATGGGGAGAAAACACATATAACCACTTTATGAACATAATAACATAGTCAGAAGCATATTGTCGCCGTATATCATGGTAGAAATTGGTCTTCCTCAGTTTCTGTTGCTACACTTTTCTGTTCTTACACAGCACATGTGCAGTTAACAAAAACAAGTGGCAGGCTTACCATTGAAATTCGTAGTTGTTGATGTGTTTTATTTTGTCTTCTCATAGCAAGAACTCTGTCAAGGGGTCATAAATGTTAGGGTGACCAGACATCCCCGTTTTGGTGGCCTGACCCTGTCTGGAGCTGTCCCTGGAAATGTCCCTGTTTTAACTGTGTGTTAATCATAGACTGTATAAGGTGTTGACAGACCTGAAATCAGATTTTACGTGGGCCAGAAAGACTGGACAGCAGAGCGGACAGGTGTCGCGCCGAAAAGTGATCCTCCGCCGAAAACTGACCACCGTCCGTGGGAGTGTGAGCAGCATGTTACAGCTGTATCACCCAGTCTCTTTACGTCTACAGCTGGTAGGTTTTATCTGGATCAAACAGACATAACGTGCAAATAAACATCACTTTATGTCCGTGGTAATAGCAAATGTATGTTTTTGTGATACTTTAATGTTTCTAACGGAATAATCACAGTTCTGGCATAAGGCTAAGTGTTTGCAGTTTTTAGTGTAACCAGGCATGACATTTACGTGATTATAGCCAATAATAGAAGCCTGTTGTTGCTGATGGATTATGTGTTTGGTAGGCCTATGTCTAATATCCTTGTTTTTATTTGGAAAACAGGATGTAGTCTACTTTTAACATGACTTACTGCTGAATTATATGTAAAATAAAGACATGATCTCTTTTGCAATGATCCTTATGACTTATGACTATTGCTATGTACCAACCAATCCAGTAGTCTACTTTTTACCTGTTGAAATACCTTTAAATGGCCAATTCAACCTATGCAGTATTCCATTTGTCAGAAAGTGACTGCAGTTTCTACTTACTGACTGAAAGGTAGATTCTGCCCCAAAATGACTTGATTTCGTTCAGAAGTTATATTTGACAGATTATAACTCACCTATTACTTTTTACCCCTTAAAATACCTTTAAATGGCCAAAACAACACATAAAATGCAGTATTCTACTTGCCAGAAAGTGATTGCAGCCTCTACTTATTGACTGAAAGTAGTTTCTGCGTCAAAATGATGATTGATTTAATTCAGAAGAGTTATATTTGACAGATTATAAAACCAAAATTGTCCCCGTTTTTTATTTCATATATATTTCATATATAATAACATTATATTTTTTAATGACAAACTGACCACCAAACCAAACATGTCCCATGTTTTCATTTACTTCCACACTTCCACTGAGAAAATACTACATAGTGGATGTGCTTGTCATGAATTTTAATGTAACCTGTAACCCCCAAAACTAATGTAGTTAGTTAATGATGAACATCTTGGCCTTGAACGCTCGATTACTTCTGTAAGCTAGTTGGCCTGACGTGCTAATGTCAATGTAAGCTAATGTTAGAGCGGATAAACATACAGTTTAATGAAATAATTTTTGCGCTTGTGTTTTTGCCTTATAAAGAAACCATACTCCTAATTCTTTAAATGCATCGCTCCTACTACAGTCACCTGCACACCTGTGAAGAAATCCAAAGCTTACAGGCCTGCCGTGCCTATAGATGCGGTTGCTAAGCCTATGATTGGACAATCTGTGTTCATAGGAGGTGTTTCCTGTTTTAGCAAAGGGTCTATAAGCCAAAGTTCATTTTATGAAAGAAAAAATAATCAGCCATATGTCATTCATCTTACACCAAGGTTAAAATTATTTTGCATCTTAGAAATAAATGAAAAAGTAAATGTTAAGACATTACAAAGTCAAAGCCACTCGAATCTCAAAAGCCCAAGCATCAATATGTTCTTCCCAGTAAATCACTCTGTCAACAAAGCCAGCAGAGGGGTGACAGTATTTCATCAGCAGGCGCGATGCAGCAGTTTTGGACTTTTGGCCTTTAAGTCTGACACTGGAGAGTGACAGGAGGCCCAGCGGAGAGAGCGTCTTGAAAGTCGGGGATTTTATTCATACAACAACGTGTCCAGAAGAGCTTTTCTGTCCTGCTGAAGTGTCTTTAAAACCATGCTGAACCCTCATACAAAAAGTCAGTCTGAAATTACTCCACTTTGTTAAAACTTAGAATGTAATGTCATTAATACACAGCAGAATATGTGAACAACAAGTTAAAAACAGACTTACAGTAGCAGGGACATCCAAATGATGTCCCTCCAAGGTAGAGACATGGCCGGTGGCTCCAACTGCTCCCTCCTGTAAATCTTATATGATTAGAGGACAGCAGCTGAGATTAGACTGTATTTCAAGAGTATTACATGTCCAGACATAACATTCATTAATTAAAGTCTTGTGTTCTCTTTGAAGTTAGATAATATCTTACAAAAGCAGTTTGGGGGACAAGAACTGCAGCCCCTGCAATGTTCTTGGAGCCGTCTGTCCATCTCATAACTCACAGCTACTTTATCAGCGTGATCTATCATTGCACTGCACAAAATTAGACTTCAGTGTCTTTTTCCAGGCTGGGGTTTCTACTTTTCTGAGCTTACAGCAGAGGAGACTACTGATGCATTGAGTCTCTCCTGAACAAATAACCTGGGTGTGTGTGTTAGGCGTCCCAAATTACAAAAAGCCATACAGTATTTTCTCATTTATTTCTAATGGTACCTAGCCATGCAGATAGAGTAGGTTTAATTTAAAAATGCTTTAGAATAACTGTCTGAGATGCCCAATGTAATGGAGGTAAATGGAATTTTGTTCGTGGTGCTTAAAGCTGCATTATTAATATTTTTGTGTTACGATAATAATCATGTTTCAGGGTCTTTCTGCTCAATGTTTTCATTTTACAGCCCATAACTACTGTTTTGGTTGCCTCTCACCATTCTGTCTGACAAAATGTTCATGTTTGCCATTTTCTTTTTGTTGAGGGCTGTTATTTTTCCCTAACCAATTAAGTGATGCGTTCATCGCACTGACATCATTATGAGTGGACATGGAAGCTTCGTTGGTGTTTACTAAGAACAGCTAACTAATGGTTTAAATGTCAATATGCCAATTTAAGAATTTAATTTACTTATTTTTGTATTTCTGACATAGGAAGATGATATGCACATTCTTAATCCTGCCTACAAAGCTCTCATTGACCTTGTGAAGGTGCACAACACCAGAACTATTTAAATTGCAGAACATCTCTGAGATGTGGGCAGAGATTCAGAGACCCGTGCTAAAATAAATGGTCACTATGAAAACAGTAGACAGTTCATTCTGCAAATATCCAGAGAAAAGGGGAAAACTATTTCTGAAAAGAGGTGTAAATGTAATTTTACACCAAATGTAACAAATAAAATTCCATTCACCTTCATTGTATTTGTGTGGAGGCAGGAATCTCAGAGATGGATATCCCAAACTCAAATAAAACCTGACTGCAAGAAATTACTGCCCACTCGGAAAACTACAGAAAATTAATCAGCACTTATGAGAGAAAAGCTTCATGAGATGAAAACAGACGTGGCACGACAACATTAATCGTGGATCATGTAGGCGATGCCGTCTCAGCACAAAACAAGCTATCTGTCAAGGCAGCAATGGGCCAAGGCGCTTATGTTTGCCTGTATTTCTCATTTTTTCCCTCAGGGCTTATTTGTTTGCTTGAACTAATCTGAAGCATTCTGACTTTCCAGCACACTGAGCCAGGATAAAGCGGAGAGGCAGGGTGACCGACTGGGATCATACCCTCATTTTCAGTGACTAAAACCAAACATTCAACAAAACACCAAGCAGAGTGGTTTCACTGCATGCAAGGAATTCAGTTTTGTTACATTACTATGTTACAATACATAAACAATGTCACACGTTGTTTGTATGATGTGGCAGATAGTTGCAGAATGAGAATACTTCCATGTTAATATATTTATTGTACACCATAAACCAACATTATTCTATTTCAAGACATAGGAGACATTCCATCCATCCATCGTCAACCACTTATCCTGTGTACAGGGTCACGGGGGGGCTGGAGCCTATCCCAGCTGACATTGGGCGAAAGGCAGGGTACACCCTGGACAGGTCGCCAGTCCATCGCAGGGCCACACATAGACAGACAACCACTCACAATTTAGAGACTAAGGACAATTTAGAGACACCAACTCACCTAGCCTGCATGTCTTTGGATGGTGGGAGGAAGCCGGAGCACCCGGAGAGAACATGCACAGAAACTCCACACAGAAAGGCCGGGGTTTGAACCCACGACCTTCTTGCTGTTTTTTTCCAATGCAACGTGATGTAAGTGGCATCATGTTCATACTGGATCTGCAAATTACAGGAGGCAATTTTGGTTTAGGAAAATTCTTGA